TGCATGCATATATGTATACATATCTTTTACATATATGTGAAAGACATGATGTTGATGAGTGCAGACAAAAAGGAGGGTAGGGCAGAAAAATCAATGGCACAATATTTTCACATAGCTTGGAAATGGCTCTGGGAGGGAAACAGCTTTATACTGTTAGAAGACAAACTAGGCACAATGTTACTAAAGCCTCCCTTCTAATTTGTTTTGCTGATGAGGGATCAGGTAAATGAAAATATGCCTCACTCTAGGGAAAACTCTGTGTTTCTGAAGCTGAGTATGTTTTCTGCTGCTGAGGGAAGGGTCTCAGTGCCCTGGCAATGCTTACCGGCACTGCACTTAAAGAAAAAAAAAGAGAGATAAATATATTAAAAATAGATGCTGAAAGAGCAACGTGATTGAGGTGGAGAAAAGCTTTTATTCAAGTTATGTGGCCTTTGCAGTATTTTGGCTGCTTCTTTGCAAAGAGAAGGATTCACTCCCTAGAAGGTACTTGCTGCTGCTTCTGGTTCTCATTCTGCAGTCCCTGCCCCATACATATTCCCTGTAGAGGGGGATGCTTTCAGGGCTCCACCCCAAGGGGCTTCCCTGCTTTGCCCCACTCACCCCCTCTCACACCAAAAGTAAAAGAGGAATAGCTAAAAAGTGTTAATTTTTGGCAAATGCATTCATGGTTTTTCCCTTCCCCAGGGCAAGAGCAAGAAAAAGTCCTTCAATTATCTTGGAGATGAGGAGTGGGCAGAGCAGACAGGACTGGGCTGCAGCCAGCTCACCCAGCTGAACACCTCCCCTGCAGTGCCAGTCAATGTGTCACCCTCTCCCACCTGATTCCCACCTTGTACCAGGGACAAGAACACAAACGCTTTAATTTAAAGCACTGTGCAAATGAGTGTCCAGGAAAGGCTTGAGTCAGCTCTGACACTCCTTCTCTCCTCCTCTTTTTGACCCTTGCTTAGAGACATTATTTATTTAGCTTATATGAGTATGTTCTAAATAGGACTATTAGCTTAAGACTCAACTTAGAATGAATTATAATATTGTGTGGTTCAGTATGTTTTTTGCTTTACTTTACTTGCTTAGCTTGAGTAGCTAGATCTGCTGAAGCCTTGGGCTGTAAGATGTGGACTTTCACATAGATAAGCTTTTGGCTGTAACAGTGTTAGTTTTCCTAGTGGTTTTCCTAGTAGCTGGTACAGTGCTGTGTTCTGTCTCTAGTACGGGAAGAATATTCATAACACACTGATGGTTTAGTTGCTGCTAGGCAATGTCTAGGAGATCTTCAGTGTCCCATGCTGTGCCCCAAAGAACTGGTGCACAAGAAACACAAACCATAAAATAAGCAAGCAGAAGCTGCAACTCAACAAAATAAGAACAGTTCACAGCCTGCCTGTGAAGAGATGGAGAAAGAATCCAATAAAGTGTTAGAAGACCCCAGAGTAAAAAATCACTATTGGACTAAAACGGCACATGAGGGGTGGGTGTTTAAAACATTAGGGTATAGCTGTCATGGGGTTTCTTCTTTTCCTTTTCTCCCCAAACACCCTTGGGATGTCCATGTGCATGCAAAACAGACCCCTCTGAGACAAAACATAAAGCTTGTAGTTTGGGGCAGCATGAGAGCCTTACCCACCTTTAAAAATAAAAATGAGGATGTTCCTGCAGAGGGGACTGGCCCTGATGTGCACCCAGATGCAAACATGCAGCCAGATATTGCTTCCCTCCACATTCTGCCGGCCCTGGAATTGACAGCCAAAGTTTGGAGAAGGGGAGCAACTAATCCTACAGGTTAGGTAGAGGATGCTGAGTATGTGCTAGATGGGACAAGGATACAGGGTGTGCCAAATCAACTGTGCATTGAGACCTTCAAGTTGGTGTGGCCAAGGGGTTTCCTGCAGGATGGAGAAGCATGTGGGTAATTAATGAAAATCTCCTAGCTGGTAAACAAGTCTGGAGGACCTGGGCCTGCAGGCAGCTGTAGATGAGGGCTGAGATACTGGCACAGCAAAGCATTGAGGCACAGCACCTACGAGGCACAGCATCTACAAGACACAGCCACCCTCTGCCCTGTCCACAGCTCCCCCAGGGACCCTCTTGCAGGGCTGAGCCCTCCAGCCACATCCAAAAAGCCAGGGCAGGAACATAACTGGGGTCTGCAACTGAGTGCTGATGAAGCAAGGAATGGGTGGGGAGGACATGGTGGGGCTGAGGGGCAAATATTCAGCCTCCAGCTATTGCCTTCTGAGCCATTGTCCCTGCAGCCTGGTGTTTAGGCACTGCTCTCCCACACAGACAACGCAGGAGGGTTTTGGACCAGCCATACCAGTGGTGATATGGATGGTTTTTCCCAGACTCCATAGAATCCCATTGCCGGTTTCCAGAGGACTGCAAGCCCTGGGGTGAGGATGACTGCACCGCTCAGTGCACTGAGGCCAAGCAGCGAGGCTTCTCCAGACTTGTTCTCCTGTCTGGGAAATTTGCATTAATTCCCCTCCTGGTGATTCAGGCTCCTGCAGGAAGGTTCAGCCTCTTCCTTGCCACACACGGGTGTAAAGAACAGTTTGCAGGGACGGTGCAACTGTCTTCCCCTTCCCGATGCTGCTTCACACCCACCACAGTGTGACTTCCAGAGCTCAAACCCTCCTGTGCATACAGAGGAGTGAGATGCTGCATCTGCCAAACGATCCCTGCAAACGGCTTTTTAGAGGAAAAAATTTTTAGGAGCTGGAGGCGGAGACTGTAAGGGAACATCTCCTATCCCAATCCCTCTCTGGACCTTCTCACCCAAGGAATTCTCTCTGCGGTTCAGCCACCCAAGCCTGATGCCCGTGTGTCACATAAAAGGGGGGGGGGGGGGGGGGGGGGGCAGATTTTCTCGACCCCCAGTGTTCGGTCTGTCTATTTAGCACCCGGAAAAGCCAAGACCCTTGTTCCTGACCAGTGTCCTGTTATAGGGACCCTTCACTGAAGAGTCCTGCTGGATTGGAGGGTGATTTGCCCAACTTGTGCAGAGAATGTGCCAACAGCATAAGGGGGACCTCTCAGTGGGTCTTCCCATTTGGTTTGAAAGTGCTACCTCCTGCCAGTGACTGGTAGTGCTCACAAAGGACTAAGACTAGCAGCTTATGGAGTAACAGACTTTAGTAATATAAAATTGTGACAAATTAAGGTTCGTGATTGCCGGTGATAGGGACTGTCTGCAAAACCAAGCTTGAAGTGATACACAACTAGCCTGTAATCACTAATAACAGCTGGCGTGAGCTGGGCATTTAGCGCATATAAGATAAAGTTCTTACCCAATAGGTGTCTCTCTGGGGAAGAAGCCCATCTGCTGATCCCAGAAGTGATGATGAAGTTTTCCCCATCTCCCCATCTCTCTCATTCACTTTCATACTTTACTCTCAGGTGGAGCTTGAGGGACTCCAGTCATACATTGTTTTATTACTGATTGGTGTAAATTCATTTGCTTCTCATTTAAAGATATAACAAGATATATGTTTATAAAACGTACGCTCGGTGAGGGGTGATTATACCTTGGAGGTGGGTAACTTTGGGATGGAGGTGTGCGTTAGTATTATAATGAGATTATAATGAGCAAGGTTCACCTAAGAAAAGTGATTTTGCCACAGTTGTTGGCTCAGCAATGGGCATCTTCTGTTATGTTTCCCACTTGGCAGCTGCTATGCAGCTTATCAGCTGTATGGTACCATCAAGTTTCCAATCCTGCAGGGAGTACAACAGAACCTGGCTGCAGTGTCTCCGCTCCCCTCCACCCTCCATTGCTCCTATAGGATAACAGGTTGTGTTGCCTAGGGAACCATGGTGGAGTAGATTCCGTGCATACCAACAGTCCTGAAAGTGGCAACTCTATTTTACCTTAAAAAGGTTTCTGTAACACTACAGCTTCTGTTAAACCTCAGTTTTCTCCAATTCCACCCCCCACCCCCACCCCAACAGTGATTTTCCCACACTGTGCCTGGGGCTTGGTGCTTACACTTCAGTTTGCTTTCCTTCCTCTGAATCTGTTCTTATTTATTGTGGGAAAGACCATGAAAAGGCCGAATTCAGCCTCAGCAAAACAAGGTCCAGCTCAACCCACCCAGCCCTGCCTCTGTTTGCTAATGGAAACTCTTCTTCGTGGTCAGTTTTCAAGGCTCTGGGCAGGACCGGAGCTGTGCATCTTCAGCTAAGCCTAGCTGGCTGTGCATTTTAATGGAGCTACTGGCAGGATCCGACTGCATCGCTGCTGGGGACCAGCCCACAGAGACCACCAGAGGTACAGCAGCAAGTTAGAGCACTCATCAGCTCAGTTCATAGTGGTCAATAATGTGCTGGAAGTGAAAGGACTCAGCCCAGCACAGATTATGGTGTTGATGCGCACCAAGCCCCTGAACCTGGAGTGATGCGAGACCCAGAAGAGCTCCATCTTCCCCCTTCTGCAGAATGCTGTCCCTTTGCACTGTGGCTTCTGACAAATACAAGAAACTGGTTGCTCTGAAGGTAAAACTGGAGTCTGATGGACCCACTCAAAAGTCCACCAAGCAGCTCCTTCACCCCACTGCTAGTGACTGCCTAACCCAGATGGCTTATCCTTAGGAATGGGGGCAGCTGGGAGGCCCTGCCTGGTTGTCACCCATTCTCAAGAGAAGGACAGTACTGCAGAGCTGACACTGCAGCAGAGGTGAAGGTGAAGCATTGGGGACATTGGTTTAGGTTGGTGCCTCTCCCATAGTGTACCCAGGGTCCCACACCATCTCGTGTGGGACGAGCCATTTCAGCCACACCGTAATGCTTGAGAGAGAAATGTGCAGCAAGAATAACCTAAAATGCCAGTCCCCAACACAGAAACTATTGCTGGAACTGAACAATACAGGTATGTCAGTTACATCCCCATCAATAAAGCAATATGTCCTCCAGAGAGCTGCTTTAGGGGGTGGCAATGTTCACTTCAGGCTTTAACAGAAATCAGATCAGGAGCCTCTGAAGACCACAGCATGTACCAGCACTGCTGTGTGCAGATGGAAGACTGCCCCCATACCTGGTAGGTTGATCAGGCTCGGATGTTTCTGCACACTGAGCCCAGAACAGGAGGTGTAAGATGACCTGAACAGTTGGTTACACGAACTCCTTGGAAATGCAAACCACTGTCTGACAGGCATAAGGTCACAGCCATCACCCTCCCCAGGCCCTGGAATCACAGCTGAAATAGCATTGTAATGCACTTATAATTTATTCATCAGCTGAATGAGAGCAGCAGCAGGCATTTCGATGGCAGTCTTTCATCAAACCCTTGTGGGGGACTTCATCCATTTTAAAAGAGCAAACTAGAGTGGAAAGGCAGAAAAATAAAAGAACTTTATTCCATTCAAATTTAAACAAGCACAAAAAAGGGCAAATCAAAATAAGGTTAGGAAAAAAAAAACAAAACAAGCCCTCCTCTAAAGATATTTTTTCTTTTTTTCTCTTTGTTTTTCTTCTGCTTTGTTCTGAATCTCCCAAACTTTGCATTCCTCTGCTGGTGGCTACTTTGATGGAGGAGGCTCCCTAGATGCTGATGACTGATGCTCAAAAGCACCTTTTCATCCCTGTGATGAGTTCTGCCTGAGAATCAGCTAGCCCCATTTTTAGGTGAAAGAGAGCCAAAAGGTGAATTGTCGACAGACTTTTATTCTTAAAGAGTCACAGTTGCTCCCCTTGAGTCACTCAGATGTTCTGCTCCCCAAGTGTAGGAACCTATGTAGGTGCCAGTGTGATGGCAAACATTTTTGTATGCCAGTTGTGTTTTATGAGAGGTGGGAATCAGCCCTGTGCAATAACACTGTGCTGCTCACTTGCGCAACAGAGCAGATAACTGCACTTTGATTTCCCATGTTAAATGCTCTGGGAGGTTATTTTTGGGAAATCTTTCCTTGGCAACAGGGCATTAGTGCCTGGGCTGAGATCCATAACCATGATGCTTGTCTGCCCTCTGGTCTGGGACTGAGGTATCTTTTGTAAATAAAAGAAGTAATCCTAGATTACTCTGTCACTGGTTTCCTATGGGGCTGGGAAACTGAAATCTGTGCTGCTGCGGTGGGAATGGTGGGCTGCCAACACCAGTATGGCCTTTGCTGGAGATTTGCATCTAGCCTGGGCCACAGCACTCCAGGAAGCACGTGGAAGAAATTATCCTGGTTCTTCTCTTTATCTTCCATATCCCCACAGTGGTCTGGATAAGAAGAAATGGGATGAGATTTGGGCAGGGGTGTACTAAGCACAGAGACATGTTGACCTGAGAGCAAAAGAATCTCCAAATTGGGTAGTTTGAAGAACAAATATTAAAGAACTGTTTGGGCACACATGTCCTGGGCTGCTTAGGAAAAGCTGACACTGCCTTGGGGCTGAAGGGTGATGAAGTGGTCCTTGAAATATCCTGCTCTGTTTTAGTACAGCCCAAGGAATAGCTGTCTGTGGTCTAAGTTTCAAAAGGCTCCTTGTAGGGGCTGTAAGCTGAGCAGACCTCCTACCCATTCCCTGATCTTCATCACACAAGCATCCATCTAACATCCTGGGGTGAGGCAGTGCTGAAGTCCAGCCCAGAGCCCCCCAGATCCCTGCCAATGCCTTGCCAGAGCACAAGAGCAGGGAGGAGGCAGCAGGAGAGGAGGTGGTGATGTTTTTTAGCCCAGACAGCTCCGGTTCCCTAAGGGAAGGAGCAGATGTCTCATCCTTTGAGCCACTCAGGAAAGAAATCGTATAAAGCGCCAAAGAATATCATGTGAGAGGATCCTGCCCCAAGAATGGAGTCACACAGGGAGGACCTGCCCCATGTCCCCACCTCACTCTGCCAGCTGACAGAGCAGGAACACTCTAATGTGACAGCAGGATGACCTTTGCATTTTCAAAGCTTCTGCTGTTGCTAAGCAGAGGAGTTAACTCCCAGTTTGTCATCCTTCATGAATGCAGCTCGCAGGAAGGAGGAGAGAGAAAAGGAAGGGAGATATTAAAAATAGATGATGAGAACAAAGCAGAAAGGACTTGAAGTTTTCATCTCAGATTTACATAAGGTGCCAGTGGCATCTTGAGGTCCAGTTTACAGCTACAAGTTCTAGTGCCGCGGGCTGGATTAATGGCACGTGTAGCCTCTTCCTCTCCTGGTGAGACTTCCCGTTCCTGAAACCACGTGTTCCTGCACCAGGCTCTGTTATTTGTTCTCTGAGCCCAAAGAGCAAATTGATTCCTTCAGGTGGGGAAAATAACAAATGGAGATAAAGAGGAAACAATACCATCTGTGGCAAAGCACACCCCATGGAGAGCCCTGCTTGCAGGCAGGCAGCTACCATCCATGGGGGAACAGCTGAAGGAAGAGGTGAGCAAGGCTTCATCCTTTCATTTAGATGTATCAGAGCTGATTAGGGGAGAGAAATGCCATATGATAAATGAGAAAGATATGTCAGCCCCTGGGCAGCCTGGGCTCGGGGAAGGGGATACCAGGCAGAGCAGATGAACCTCGAAAGGGGCTGCCCAGGTTGCAAAGTCCTCCGTTACTTCAATAGTTTCTGTCTCCTGCAAGCAGTGGATGTTTTTGCAGCAGAGGGGAAAAAGAAATTGGGGAGAAAGACCAATATTCTCTCTAAATGCAGACCTGATGGAAAATTTTCAGCCTGCCCTGTTGAATACACCAGGGTTTGCTTCACTTTCTGCCTTACTTTCTGCTTTGCTTGATTTCCTCTTTCATTAACATTTGAGACAGGCAGCAGGTGGAGATAAGTCCTGAATAGCTCCAAACTTCGCTTCTCCCATCTCTCTCGGCACTAGTCTGGTTCAGACAAAGCCAGTGCTGGAGGCCGGCTGGAAGGAAAGGTGTTTCAATTACCATAGAAATAGGGGCAGCCTGTTCCTGAAAGCAGTCAGCTCTGGCACATTGAATCAACCCAGCATTTTCCTCTGAACACGAGCAAATCCTTGTTTTACTGGTGAGCCAAGACACCAGCTGAGCAAGTCTTTGCTAGCTGATGTCAACGTGGAAGGTCACAGTGTTCCTGTTTGTGTGCATTATTAGACTTACCAGCAATGAAAACGGAGCACATAGAGGGGCAGCTGGAAGTGAATGCTGGTGCTGAGGCACTTTGTAATAATGATGATTTGTGACATTAAACCTGAGTGTTTTGGAAGTGGGGGTGGAGGTGTGACTGAGACTGATGTTGTTTGTGCAGCAGCGAGCAGTACTGCAGCACAGGACTGGGTTGTTGGGATTGGGAAGAGCAGGGATGAAGACAAAGACTGCTGACCCACACCATGGAGTTGGGTGGGACGTGGTGGGCAGAGGTGAAGTGCTTTCTCTCCCCCAGAGGAGGCATTGCTCAGCAGTGTCTGGAGCCCTCCAACATGTGGCCCAGATGTGGCCAAACCCAACAGGGATGGAAGTACCTAACACCAGGGAAGCCTGGTAGTCAAGCAACATGTGGCTCCCAGCTCACATGTCTTGTCTGCCAACCTGATCCCATATTGTCAAGATTATATCCATCAACCCAAGACCATTTAAGATGGATGTGAAAATCCTTGAATGCCCAGAGGGGCACAACAGAGCTGGTAAAGCAGCTGGATGGAATGTCCTCTAAGGAACAGCTAAGAACTTGGGGCTTGTCTAGCTTGAAGAAAAGGAAGCTGAAGAGCAACTTCATCGCTCTCTACAGCTTCGTAAGGAGGGGATGTAGAGAGGGAGGTGCTGAGCTCTTCTCCCTGGCATCCAGTGAATGGTTCAAAGCTGCACCAGGGGAGGTTTAAACTGGATTAGGAAGCATTTCTTTGCTGAGAGGGTGGTCAAAATACTGGAAGAGACTTCCTAGAGAGAGGTGGTCGATGCCCCAAGCCCATCACTGCTTGAGAGGCGCTTAGGCAATGCAAGAGCAGAATTAAGCATCTTTCTGTAAATCTGAGTTCACTCCATGGTGGTAAAGAGTGATGGTGGCTGACCTGTGCCTGCAGGGGTACATCTATGGGAACACACACTTTTTCACAGTGTAACCAAGCAAGCTGGGTTTGGACAAGGGATGTTCCTTCAGATTACCCCTATGACAGCGAGCGAGAGCTCATCCTGGCTCATCAGAAAACCTATGCCACTCCTCGCAGGGCCATTTTCAAGGGTGAGATGGGATTTTGCAAGGGCCTGTACCCCTGACATGTCAAGCTGGGGTATTTTACAGCCTGGAGGCAGTCACAAGCCCTGGAATAGGTACCCTGCTGGTGCTGGAGCATCTTTGGAGCAGGAGATGGGGGCCTCCCTGTGGAGACCCCAAGAAGCAGGAAGAGGGCAAGTGGAGCAGTTGCAGGGACAAGGAGGAGGATGCTGTGCTCACCACAGGGCCAGCAGTGAACTTGTCCTGTAACAGCTGGTGCCTGGGGAGGACCATCTGCCCCCTGCTCTCCCCCTGGGCGAAGGTCTGGAGAAGAAGCTGTGGCTGCCAAGTGCCAGGTAGAGACTTCTCTACAGCTGCCTGAAAGGGGATGGAGCGAGGTGGGGTTGGTCTCTTCTCCCAAGCAGCAAGTGATAGGATAAGAGGAAACAGCCTCAAACTGTGCCAGGGGATGTTTAGATTGGATATTGGGAACAATTTATTCACTGAAAGGGTGGTCAGGAACAGGCTGCCCAGGGAAGTGAGCAGTCCCTCTCTATGCAGCAGCACCTCAGCATTGTTTACCATTTCATCCCTGCACTCCATGTAATCCAACACCATGGGTTACGTTCAGGCATTACTTGATTTTCACTTTTATTAATCTCCAATTTTTATGTAACCACAAGTTCACAAATAACACAAATAACTTTCTTTCAAATAAATCTGACATTTTTGGGGAGACATTACAATTAATTCAGAATTCATCACAGCCTATTAGTTGTTTAGATTAGTCCTGTTAGGACCATATTAATTCTTTGATTCAGGGAATACACATAAACCTTTCTCTGTCAGGGCTGTGCAACACTCCAGGCTTGGGGAAGCATGTCTGGAAAGCTGCTCATGGAAAAGGACCTG